TGCGGTACCTGAGGCTGGACCGAGCGTTATCTGAGGCTGGACCGAGCGTTGCCTGAGACTGGACCGTGCGGTACCTGAGGCTGGACCGAGCGTTGCCTGAGACTGGACCGAGCGTTGCCTGAGACTGGACCGTGCGGTACCTGAGGCTGGACCGAGCGTTATCTGAGGCTGGACCGAGCGTTGCCTGAGACTGGACCTTGCGGGACCTGAGACTGGACCGAGCGTTGTCTGAGACTGGACCGTGCGGTACTTAAGACTAGACCGAGCGAGACCTGAGACTAAGTTGCTGTGACTCGAGAGGATAATGAAGCTCAGGACCTAAGTGCCAGGCTGGGCCGTGAGAGCGCCTGCGGTCAGTGACAGCCAACAACCATCTGTCGTACGCAGCGAGCGGCAGAGATTGACGCGACACCCGTTACCAGAAGCGCCTCTAACACACTCGTTTAGTCCTCTTCAGTTCCGAGCTGTCCTCTGCCGCGCCCGTTACTCCTGCACTCCCGCCAGCTCCTTCTCTTATGTGTTGTGAGCGCGCGAGCTGAGAAGTGCGTTTAAAGAGCATTTGCTACGCAAAATGTTCTTAATTATGATGGAAGTGCTCAGCAAAGATTGATGAAAAGTGTTCGCTCGTGGTTATAATTACTTTAATTAATTATCGGCGATCTTCCGAACGATCAGTGTATTTATAGCTTCAGGCTTCTTGATGGCTTATGACTGCATTATTCATGTTGCCTTGTATTTTGTCAATATTTTATTGCCGTACGGCGCATTTTTGAAGCAATGGACACTGTGACAGCTGCTATAAGCTGAAAATTCGAAAATTTTTAAGAGCGAAAGCGGAAACTAATGACTGAAAACTCGTACCATTTGAAAGTTGCGATTATTTTCAATTGCAAGGAAAGTTTATGTGTAACTTGAATTATCCATTTTAGTGTTGAAAAATGGTTGGGTGGCACTACAAACTTGATCTTGAACAACATCAGAAGCAGCGGCCTCTGCTGCAAAACATGTTTTCTTACTTATTTACCCGTTCCGGTGATGCGCAAGAGCATGCTGGTAACCAGCAGACCTGGTGGAGACAAAAGTTTCTCATGGACACTCACTCTCAGCTGCAGAGGTCGCCGGTGCCTGGACCGGCTTTGGGCAAGGGCTCGCAATGCAGCTGCGTCAACCCACCTGATTTCGCTTCCCTCAGATCAGATCTCACTCCGCCAAGACCCATCGTTCCGCGCCGAAAAAATCGTTACGCCCCTCAACCCGACGTGTTCCACAACGATGAAGCTGTTAGGTATCCAAGCGCCACTGCACAACTGATTGAGTCGCGTCTTCGGGCGCAGAGACAGGGTCTTAGGAGCAGGCGACTTCTCGAGAGCCATAACGAGAAAAATGTTCCTCAAAGTTTGGTCGAAATTATAGATGGAGACGATCCCTTTAGAGATGATACTATTGGACCTAGACCTGATGTGTCCAGGACTTATTCTTTACGCAGCACCGTCAATGCCAGTGACACGAACTTGTCTGAATCGTTTATCCTCTCTTGCACCTGCGGTCCTCACCTGAAGTGCACATGTGCCGCCCAATCGAAGTTCCAAGTTCAAAAATTGGCCGCATGTGCTCGAGTTGTTCGTCGTATGTCTTCCAAGTTACGGAAGAGAAAAAAAGTTCGACTGAGAACCGATCAGCCGACTGCTCTACGGCAACGTCGCTTGTTCGTTCATCAGTACAAGAATTACAGTTATTCGCTCCCTCAGCCCATCAAACCAAACATCCAAGCTAAATCCTTCACTTCTTTGGACACTCGTCGGAACATAGTGACGAACGGTAGTTTGCTCCATAAATTTTCTATATCGAATCTCTTCCAAGGCATGGCGGAAAATGATTCACTAAGCTTACCAAAAGCTCGTGACGATGACCCGATGCTAAATTCTCGGCCTTTATCAGACGCTGTCGTCCCAGCTGACGATGTGGTCGCGTGTGACGATTCTGAACAGCGAGGATCTCCTGTGCAAGCTGAGGCCGCCAGCGATGACGGCGAAAGTTTCGTTACCGACGAAGGAATTTACACACACGACGAAGCTGAGAGCCTCACGTCTGCTTCGTCAAAAGACCATCTGAAAGCCGACCACGCAGCAGAAGCTAATCAAAATAAAGATCATTACAGTAGCACGGGCACGATGGGGTCATCTAACTTCAGCGAGACCACTGCCATAGTTCATCGGTCAGCGTCATTTTCGAAGGTTTCTGTTAACAAGACGGATTTGATTACAATTAGCCCCGCCAGTTTCTTTGTGTCTGGCGACGAAAAATTTACCTTTAGTTCTACACCAAGTGAACCAAGTGATAATTTTTTCAACGGCATGGAGTGCTGTGCAGTTTCTGGCGGCAACGAAGGATCATTCAGTACCGGTAGTAATGTATTGCGCATCCAACTCGCTGAGCAAGAGTCTGATATAGGCCCGGCCTATGACGGCGTTACAACCCGTGGCGATGTTTCCATTATATCAAGTTCATGTTCATTCAATTCTTCGCTTGGTGGTCAGTTTTCTCAAGAAATTCTTGACGTTGACTACGATGAAGCTAGAGCTCCGCTTTCGACCGTTGTGGAAGAGTCGGGCGAATACACCAGCTCTGTCCTGGATTGTGGGCTGAGCTCTCGACGTAGCGTGGCTGTTAATACGATCCCAGTGGACGATGCTTGTGTTGACTCGTTAGATTCGTTTTTGCCCGACTCTCTCGAAGAAGTCCAAACAAAGTGTTTGGAGTTTGATTTAGAGCCTTTAACTCCCGAATGTGATTCATTGGAATATCAATACAGCGAACCCGACAATCATCGTGCAGTGTCAACGCGCACGGCAGCAACAGAATTATTAGTTGATGCTGTTGCTGGTGACGTGTCTGAAAATCTGGATAACATATCTTATTCTGGAAATTTCTTGTTAACACGCCAAGAAGAAATGGTCACATCGACGGAACATAGCCAAATCCATCAACAACCTATAGGAACAGAGAGCAAAAATTCAGCTTCTTCATCTGATTTCTTCATGAAGCCTACAAACGCAATCGCTGATGCTCGTGGCATCTTCTGCAGTTCTGTTTTACAAACAAAAAACTTTGTACCTGAACAAACGCAAATTGATGACGAAAGCCGCGGGTTGCAAGTGGAAAATTCCGACCTTAGACGTGAACTCATGCGGGAAACGGCGAATGAAGGCAAAATTCACACGGATTTTAATAGCGGCCGTGATTTTGTCACGAACCCTGATAGCTTGCCTGAAACTGACCTGGGAGATCTGGATTCGCTTGTTCCTGGAAAAGACTTCACACTTAACCCAAATAAGGTTGAGCTGAACAACGACTGCCCGATTATCCCGCGAAAAAATACTGAGTGTTTGATGCGCTCCCACCGTGTCCCTAATTTCCCAGCGGACATGGCTGCTGCTCCGTCTGTGATGGACGCTGAGGATGATGACCCTGCGCCATCCATCCCTGCGCCATCCATCCCTGCGCCATCCATCCCTGCGCCATCCATCCCTGAAAAAAAATTAAACACGCCTGTGCAAAACGTGTACAATCAAGTTTTTTTAAACATAAGTAATGGTGTAATACTACTACTCAATCTAAGCTATATGTCATCAGGAGGAATGAATTAATACTTCTACCCAACACTAGCCATCTGCCTCCAGTAGTAATAATATCATACCACCAAACATTTGCCATCTGTTACCAGTAGTAATGGATTTTTACTACTACTACTCAATAACAGCCATCTGCCAGCAGTAGTAATGGAATCTTGCTACTTCTAAACATCAGCCATCCGAGGCATCTGCCTATGATAGTAAAGAGTTCACCGTCGCATTCCAGCCCCTGTTTCCTTGTCTATAGCGCGACACTCGCGCCACGCCCGCATACCGATACTGTCTTGGGCTCGGTTACTGTGTCTCGTTCGGTCTCCATACAAACAACTTACATTTGTGAGTGTGCTTACGAATATTTCTGCAGATATTAAATGCAAGGTTATTGGCCACAGGTCTTGCACTGTGCGTGATGTCCGCAGACACTAAATGCATATCCTGCACTGCGCATGTCCGCAGACACTAAATGCATGTCCTGCACTGCGCATGTCCACAGATACTAAATGCATATCCTGCACCTGTCTCTTATACACATCTAGATGTGTNGCGCATGTCCGCAGACACTAAATGCATATCCTGCACTGCGCATGTCGCGCATGTCCGCAGACACTAAATGCATATCCTGCACTGCGCATGTCGCGCATGTCCGCATATACTAAATGCATATCCTGCACTGCGCATGTCTGCATTCTCAGCACTACACTCATTATGCGGCACGGCTACATAAGTGTCATGTCGTCTCCGCATGACGGACAAGCACCACGGCACCCGTGGTTATGTAGGCTGCTGTTCTCCCACACTCGATGGCTCTTATCACAGGCGCCGTGAGCCTGAATTTCCCGCGCCCTGGTCCTATACTTTCAAAAAAAGTTAAGAGATCGTAAGTTCATCAGCCAATCATTGACGGCCTTTCAAGCAAAATCCACCAATCATATAGAAGAAAATAGAGCGTAAGTACTTACGTTCACTTAGCGAGTTTTGAAAGTATGGCCCCAGGCTGGTCGCTGCTTGCGCGCCTCT